GAAGAGTTCATTTGAATCGATAAGGATATTCAGAAATATTCAGATGGACAGCCAACAATTATATAAAACAAAAAACGATTAAGCTTGTCCGTAAACAAACCATTGGAGAGGGTGAACATTGCACTGTTGCAGGGCTATGGTTAGCTTGATCAAAATTCATATGGATCGTATCATTTGATGATGGCGGTGTATTTATCATTGTCATCAAATTCGTCTGCTGTGGTGATCCATGTGTTTTTTGAGAATATACTGTATTAGTTGGAATTATCTGATCAGCATTACTATCATCATGATAATCATCATTCTTATCGTTACTATCCGTATTGTTGGCGCTGTTATTGCTAGCATTGTCATTGATTCTGTCAGCGACATTCACCTCACAAAGAAGAGGTAAGTCAATATCTGAGGCTAAATGATCACAGTTTGGATCGAATATTCCATTCATATCCATCCATTTTTCAATCCACGATGACTCCGAATCCATTTCTGGATTCGGAGTCATCGCGGTTTCAGCATTCTTGTCATTGTTCATTGCAGTGATCATCATCTCTTCCTCATTTCTGGATGATGAGATTGGATATACTTGAAACGAATCACGTCTGCTATTCCACTGCAGAGAATCAGTGCCTTGACCTCTTGCATAAATTGATGAATCTATTGTTTGTTGACCACAATGTTCTTTCTGCTCCTTATGTACTCCTCCGTGTATCTCTCCGAGAGCTCCTCCTTCTGAGTTAGCATTTGGTTCATATGGAGACCATTGTTGTTCCCAGTCGAACGGTGAACTGATATTACTGATATCTGTACGAATGAGTGGAGAATAATCATTGTTTGATGAGATCAGACCACTATGCTCCTCTGGATCTGTGAGAAGTTCGTTGCTGATACGCCTGAAATTTCTTCGATGTCCGAAAGAACATATCATAATCACAGCAAGTTGCCATTAATACAATTACCTTTTCGGCAGAGTTACATGGGGTTTAACAGTTAAGTAGTGAGATAAAATGTTATTTATAATAACAAATGGTTGAAAAATTTGGAGGTGATAAAAATGAATTAGGTGATTTTCAAATTCCTGATACACGTCACATTAACTATGTATTTTTACAGGATTTATGATTGTGATTATTATCGTAATCACTAGCACTATTATTTTCGTTATTTATTTATTATGAATATTATTGACAATACTCATCACATTCGAATATTCATAAATGTGTTGTTCCTCTTCATTTTTTCCTCCTGTCTATCACAGTTATTTGCTTCATTAAGACATTATCAGTATTTATCTTCTGATCAGTTTGTCGTCTAGATATGACAATAAATTTGATAGATTTTGAATGGATTCAATATTTTGCAGAATACCTTTTGAAGAGCGGCGATGCCGTTTGGGCATCGATTCCGAAGAAGCAATCGTTTATCATTTTCGTGTCTTGCAGGATTTGGGACGGTGATTCTATTAACGGTACAACGCCAAAGTCTTCGTGTTGTTCGCGATTCGACCGCATTCTCATCTGTATCAAGACGATTTCACATATCACTATTGGATTTTCGAATGCATTATTGTGGTTTCAAGAACTGTCATCAGCAGAGTGCATATAAAATCTTCGAAGTTTGAAGATGAATCGAACGAACAATATTCGCTTACAAGTAAAAAAACTGCTAATTTAATTGCTCAGGATTACAATGTTCCAAAATTTTCGGATACTTCAAGCAATTAGATAAATCTCCATGGTCAATCAGCTTTCAAATATTCGCTTTAAACTCTTTGGGGAAGAATGTTACTTGATCACGAAAGAGAAGAGTTACTTTGTTCTGT